GAGTGTTTTGTTTCTCAGCATTGCACGAACCAGTAAATTGTTCAAACAGGCTATAAGTACAGTTGTTTGCTAAGTTAAATTAATTAGCATTTTAAACGAATCGGTTGATTTAAGGATTCAACTCACTCATAAAGACAGTCACTTGCTGCCACCTACTGGCGGTTGTAGTTTCATATTTTAAAAAGTAGCTCATTATTTCATTTTTGCAATCATTTAATATTTCTACATTAAAATGTTGTATTTAAACGTAACATAACTTATGCAAAATCCATCTATGGATTTTGTTTATAGTGATTTCCTTTGATTGTTAATAGCCAACATGTTTTCTTATTCAGATTGAATTTATTAAATTTAAGAATCTGACATAAAAGGATACAGATATGACAATACATTTTCACAATACATCTCTTTGTTTTTTCTGCTCCGTGTTATTTCAGGGTTTTGATCTCTCGACTGAGAGATCACATCCTGTTTATTGTATTATAGTGACTATTTAATAGTACATCTAAACTTTGACTAGGCTAGACATGTTGCCTATTAATTGTATACAGTATATGAACCTGAAAGCATATTTACATTTTTGTGTATTTTGTGTTACTCCATAATAATGTTCTAGTTGAGGGCATTTGTAGTATAGGTATGGGGCCCAAACATAACCTCAAGCCCAGGGGCCCCCGGCCCCGTAAGTCCTGCCCTGATCTTACCCCATTTAGTGTACTAAAGTGTAATCTCCTGTTGGGACCTGTTGTCACAAAAGTTCAACGTGTTAAATGAACCGTCCCATTATGTAATAATCTTTTGTCATGCTTTAAATAAGTACACTTATTTTGAAGTGAAATGTAATTTATTCCTGTGATGTAAAGCTGAATTTTCAGCATCATTCCTCCAGTCTTCAGTGTCACATGATCCTTCAGAAATCATTCTGATATGTTGATTTGAATTGATGCTCAAGAAACATTTTTTATTATTATCAGTGTTGAAAATAGTGTAATGTTTTTATGGAAATGTACAATAGAAAGCTCATATATTTGAAATCTGAAAATGTTTACACAAATTGTAGCATTGACTACAGTTTTTTACCAATGTTATTGCTCCAAAAAAAAACTAACAAACATCTAAACATTTTGTGGAAAAGTTATTATAACAACAAAACAATATTTGGTCCCAAACTAGATAGCCCCTTCTCGTAACCCTCTTAACTACTTCATTACATTTTTAATTAAAAAATGAAATGTTTATTTAATTCTTGTTTGTGGAATGTTATTTAATCCTTAAAAAAAAAAAAGAAATGCACAAATCAATACCCAAACATGTCCCAAATTTTGTTAAGGGTTACAAAAACATCACATCTCATTTAAAATTAATAGAAAATCTCCTTTCACTGACCCTTCATTGAAAAAGAACCAAACAGAAATGTTTGTTTTTACCTTATTCAAGGGAAATGCCATTGCCTCAGTGTTTCAAATGGCTTTATAATTACTGAATAATGTATTTACAAACAGCCTTACCATGAATAAACCAACAAATACACAACTAATGTTCCAATTGCTGCACTAAAACACAAACTATTAGGATACTCTGATTTTCTTGGCCGCTCAGAGTAGTTTGGCACAACACTGTGCACTTGCCCTCTCAGTGACTCTTAATGCTTGGAAGTACACAGCTTACATTGGATTCCCTTCAACATTCTGTGCTGAAGGCTGAAATTCTGCTGACGTCGTTGAGTTAACACGTACAGGCTCAAGCACAGCTGTCCTGCTTCGGCTGATGGCTCCACTTCCCACCATCTGCCCAATCTGATAATACAATTCACTTTACATCCTCCCCGTCCACCCCCGCTATGAACTCACCCCCTCTCTCTTTCACACACACAAGCACACTGATGCTTTAAGACAGAGGGGTCACTGTCCTGCAGAGTTTAGGTCCAGCCCTAATTAAACTCACCAGAACCAAAGTAATCAAGGTCTCCAGATTGAATTTTCAAGGCAAGTGTGTTGGAGTTGAACTCTGCAGGACACTGGCCCTCCAGGAGCAGGATTGGACACCCCTGCTTTAAAGTGCTATTCTTGTTCTAAGAGACAGATGTTTGTTGTCATGCATGTCGTTCCTCGTTTTGTGGAAAACAAAAGAAGTTAAGTAGAATGTTCAGGCTGCTCTTTTCCATACAGTGAAAGTGAATGGCAATCACAGGCTGTCAGGTTACAAACATGACAAAAAGCACCAATAAAGTGGCGTTCCTCACTGGGTATAGGGGATTTGGTTAAAACATTCTTTTTGTTATGCTGGTTGAAAGTCTCTTCACATCCTGATAGCAATCACTTAGTTAAGTGGTCTAAGTGTATTTCTATGTATTTATGTCATCTGCGGAAGGCGTAGGACCATAAACTGTTCGTCCAATCATTTCTCTTGGTCCGAGGGCTACGATTCAGTGTTGACAAGTCCGCAGTTTTCCCGCGGGAATTGGGCTACTTTAACACTGCTGCCGTGGGTTGTTTTTCCATGTCCATGGGTTTAAGCGACCCTAATAACGTTATATCCAGCTCCTAAAATGTTAATTTTACCAGGGGAACCCCACCAAAAACGTGTATTTTACCCCACCGGAATGCAATTTTTACCAGGGGATCCCCCTCGAAACGCAATTGGGCTAGCTTTGGGCTAGTTTTGAGTAGCAATTAGGCAGGTTTTGTTGTGAAAACCTGGCAACCCTGCTGTCCTACCTGCCTGTCAACGTATGTGTTTGCTTACCTGACGTGATGCGTCATCAGCGCGTTCATTACACTATTGCAGACTGAGCAAGAATGGAAGGCATTATTATTTTAATACTCTGCGTTTTGTACTGTAATGCTTTCTCACCTGTGAATGAGACATGAGGTAATCTGACAGCAATGCATTCAAGCCTCCACCAACACCATCTCTTATCGTGTGGCTGCTTAGCCTCTGGTCTGCCAGAGTGCGATCATGTGTTTTGAAGGAGGCGTGGCTTTGGAGTGATTTGCAAGGAGGGTGGGATCTTATGCTTTTCAAAGCTAGCTTACTATTGCTAGCCTCTCTGAAATCGCCTACCCTACCCTCAAAGCTGTCATATGGATTCAGAGGATTTCACATGTAGTGCACACGTCATATGAAATACTATTATGATACTATTTTTGGAGGATCTGCAATGTAATGTAATGTAATAAAATAAAATAGTAAAAATCCTATGGTAAAAACCTGTTAATTGGTTAAAGGGGTCATATGACGGTGCTAAAAAAGAACATTATTTTGTGTATTTGGCGTAATGAAATGCGTTTATGCGGTTTAAGGTTCAAAAAACACATTATTTTCCACATACTGTACATTAATGTTTCTCCTCTATGCCCCGCCTTTCTGAAACGTGTCGATTTTTACAAAACTCATCGGTCTGAAAAGCGAGGTGTGCTGTGATTGGCCAGCTATCCAGTGCGTTGTGATTGGCCGAATACCTCAAGCGTGTGACGGAAATGTTACGCCCCTCACCATATTGTGATGCCGTGTCCGGCCGGAGGGATGAGACAAAAACATTAAAACCCATTATAAACGAGGCATTTGTTGCATCCAGTGGGGACATAATTACGGTTTATAATAACTTATACCGTCTTTTTACGCGTTGCGTTGCATTGCGCTGCGTAAACATAAAACCATGTCTGCATTTGTGATCGGAGAAATGACAAACAACAAGCCCTACTCTACACTGCTCAAAACTCACGTTTGAATCATCAGTGGCAAATTCTTTAAATATGAAAATGTACTTACAGGCTGTGAGTCAGAACAGCCGGCATTGTAGTCTACTCTACCAGGATCAGGAAACAGTCCTCCATAAAATGTGCTGCACACATCAGAATATTTGGGTTAAATTGTTCTGGAACAGTGTTGTAAATACAACTTAACCACTGATTTCTAGTCGTGTCCTCTTTTGGAAGACCAAACAAAGTAGTTTTGCTTTCACAATGAAACACACAGCGTCTTCACGACATGGCGGCGGCAGCAACAATACTACAGCGAGAATAAAAGTTACGCCTTCTTTCTTTGCGTGAACATTTGGGCGGTGTTATGCAAATCTTCCCACATAGTGATGTAGATATGTGGGGGCGTGTTAGAACGAGCCGTTTTAGGTAGGTGTGGCTGACTCTTAACTTTGATAAAGAATATCACTTTGGTTTTGAGACTTTAGTCTTTGCAACTTCAGGGATCTTATCTATGCACAATCAGCTTGTAACACTCCAAAGAGAAAGGAAAACTTGAAATCGCATCATATGACCCCTTTAATGGTAATTTCCTTTACTGCATATGGTGAGAAATTACAGGACATTTAATGTAATGTTACAGTAAATTAAGTGAAAAACCATGACTTGACATTCCCAGAATTCCCTCTGTGACATTCGTGATTTTATTGTTTAATATAATGTTTATACAATTTATAAAAACATTTAGATTGTTCTTAGTTTTTGTTATCGTTTATGTATATTAGGGTTGCTGTTATGTTGTTAAATTTATTATTTTTACGTTTTATTTTTAAATAAGTGTCATCTGTGTTACTACAATGGTATTTTGTACTTACATCAGCTTGTGGAAAAGCTACTTATGAGAATATATTTGATAAAATATTACAAAGGTTAGAAAAAAACCTGGATTTGAGTAATTTAACAGGTCAGTATATTGACATTTTATCAGTTAAGGTTTTTTTTTTTTTTTTTTTTACCATTGAACTAATCTGCAAAACCTAAAATGTTACTATATTTTGTGCTACTACATTTTTTAATGGTAAACTTCTACCAACCACATCTGCTTTTAAAAAAATGTTTTACTGTACATTTCACTCTACAGAAAAGAGCAGCATCAACATTGTGTCTAACAAATTTTTCTTCAAAGAAACTTTGAAATGATATGAAGTTGAGTAAACAATGATAGAATTTTAATTTTTAGGCAAACTATTCCTTGGAGTCACCCACTTTCAACTCCGAATAAGAATTCCACACAAGCCGTTGCATATAAAACAAAAGCTGATACATTTATTGATGCAATTGAGCCATAGATTTGGTGTCGTCTAAACCCGCAATGCAACAATCCCAATCATAATTGCATGCCTTTGGAGAAATCAGACATACAACCAGTGTTTCACAAGTCCATATCCGCTGACCCGCGCTGCGTCTCTCAGAACAAAACAATGTTCCGCAAATTAAAATTTACTGCAACTGTCCCATAAACATGACAAACAGCATTAAATTTAAACTGCTGTATACTCTGCAACCTTCAACTGTATAAATCAAAGCTGGTACTTTTGTCTTGGCTGCAGGAGCGTGAGTTGGTAGTGGGCATCAGGGTTCACAAGTGCGCATTGCCAAGTACATGTAGTGGAAGTGATGCATCAGCCGCTGGCAGGGAGCCAGTCGCCACGGTAACAGTGTCCGCCGTCTGATGCATTTGTAGCATAGCACCTCGCTAAGAAGGGTCATTCACACCGCTATAAATAAAGTGCTAACAGCTACACTCGGCTTTTACACTGTAAGCCATGCATTATAATATTTAATCACCCCTACTAACCTGCGGTAAATGAGAGAGTCGATTTCACTGTAAACACCATTCGCGTTGTAAACTCATCAGCAAGAGTGATATTTACAAGGTTCTTTATGCGGTATGAAAGGTTTCGTGACAGCATTTTATTGCACGTCATTCTTGTAGAGTAACACAAACGATCTGTTGATCTTACCCATATTTGACCATTGTTTTAATGTACAGTCATCTCATTACACGAAGCTAAACATTTATAGCTTCTCTCCGAGGTACATTTTAGGTGATTTATATATTTGTGTTCATCGAGAATTTCAGTGATCTTTCCAAAAATGCATCGACTTGTTTCAGACTTGCTTAAGACGCGAAGAAGAGAACCTTTTCAATACATATATTATATAATAGCTTAAGTCTGACGCTGTACTGAGTACCATCAGGAACATAGCAGCAGTTTTGAGCCACTTTTGCCAAGCTGCATCAACGAGAGAGGACAAAAACGCTAAGAAACAAAACTGGCCATCTATCAGCTCTTAATAATATCATTTCATCTACAATTCTCGTGGACGTTTTTCGCAGTCCCTTTCAAAAAAGCTACACTTCAAAAAGTTCTACATAAACGCATCCTGGTACAAAAAGCAACACGATTCAAATAGTGTGATAAAAAATGAGGGTAGAGTGTAAATATATATTCATATTTATACATTTCTAGATGTATTTACAAGAAAGGCTGTCAGTCAGATAATCTGTGTGCCCGTTGTTAAAATACATTCGGGCAGAGCATTTAGTGGAATACATTTTCTTACGAATTTGGTCAAAAGAAAAGTCCTTGTTATTATAAACAATCCCAACATCCATCATTCTGTTCCTCATTTGATGACGCTAACATCTTCAAGGTTTTCTGTAGTATAGATGGCAGGAGGATATTTTTGAGAAACACACGTGTACCACTTTCTGCTCAAGTGCCCTGTAGCTTTATAGCAACAACAGGTAATGGGGTCAGCGAAGGCCCAGTTTGTTCTCTTCCAGCTGTGAAACTAGCGTCTCATTATGTGACGTCCGTGCCGAGCTCTTCAGTGTGCTATGTGGCAAAGCATGGTCTCCCAGAGTTCATGAGCCGAGTCCAGCCAGGTAGCACACTGGAGAGGAACTGAAGGTGAGGGAGCTCAGCGCTTTTTAAACGCCACCCCGCGGTTGGGATGAGGGGGGAATTTGGGCAGGCAGGGCTCATCAGCGCCGGGGTCATGGGAGAACACGGAGTCTTCACCGGAAGAGCACGTCGAGCTGCGTGTGTCGGGGAAATTTGGAGAAAACTGGTCCAGAGACACAGACAGGTCCAGATACTCCTCAAAACATAAAATACACAGATCATTTATTATTGTTGTTAATACAAAAAAAACTAATTATTGATATTATTATTGGTCACACTTTATTTTAAGATCCAATTCTCGCTATTAACAAAACATTATGACTTTTCAATAAACTCCTTATTAATAGTTAGTAAGGTAGTTGATAAGTTTAGGTCTTGGGAAGGATTAGGGATGTAAAATATGGTCATGTGCGCTTTATAAGTACTAATAAACAGCCAATATGTTAATAATAGGCATGTTAGCATGCCAAACAACTAGTTAATAGTGAGAATAGGTCACTGTGCTAAAGTGTTACCTTTTTATTAATATTATTTGTTAATTTATTATTATTGACTATTACTATTATTATTAGATCATTTATTTGTATTATTATTGATGATGATTATTATTAGTAGTAGTTATTTAATAACATTATTATTATTAACTACTCAATAACAACAAATTATTTGTTATTGTTTATATTTATTATTTTAAGTTATTATTTAATTATTATTAACTATTAATATTATTATTTATTGAATTACTCCAATACAACTACTAATACTTTTTTTTATTAATACTACTACTGAAGAACAACAGATTATTTGTTATTATATTGCTATTAAGTTATTATTATTTGATCATGTATTAATATTCACTTATTATTATTATTATTATTCCCTGAACAACCACAATAATAATAATAATAATGATGATAATAATAATAATAATAATATGATTATTATTAGATCATTTATTTTTTATTATCCTTGATGATGATCATTGATGATTAAATTATTATTATCATTATTATTGACCAATTATTGTAATTATTAATGACTGACTAATAATAATAATAATAATAACAAGTTTTATTATTATTATTATTGGATAATTTTTATTATCCTTGATAATGATGATTTAATTATTATGATCATTATTAATGACTAATTATTATAATGATTAATTACTGAATAATAATAATAATAAAAACAACTAAAAAAATACATATTTATCATTATTATTTAATATTTCTATGCTGTTATGCAAGGTCACAATTACATTTTATTAGGGGAAAAACAGCTTTTTTTGAAGCACAGTTATAATGCCATGTAAAGCATTGAAAGCTGAGCTTCAGCAAGGGCTCACCTGATTGGACGTCATAGAGAGGGTGCGGTCTAGATCCTCCACCAGCTGTTTGAACGTGGGTCTCTGAGATGGGACGGCATGCCAGCAATCTCTCATCATCATATACCTGCGAGAGGAACACGGGTTTAAAAACTGTAATAAGAAACCTCTGCCATCATGACAGAAGATACAGCATTAAAACAGTCTTACAGTTCGTGGGTACACGTGGAGGGGCGGTCCATGCGGTGGCCCTCCTTTAGCAGTTTGAAGAGTTCCTCGACAGGGACACCTGGGTACGGTGACCCGCCAAGAGTAAAGATCTCCCACAGCAACACCCCAAAAGACCACCTTACATGCAAAGAACGACCATTATTGACAGACAAATGCATTTTGTATGTGAGTGAGTTTGAGAGAATATATTGAGACGTACACGTCACTCTGATGGGTGTAAATGCGGTCGAACAGAGCTTCAGGCGCCATCCATTTCACCGGTAAACGACCCTGTGGAAAACACCAGCACTTCATTCACTTAATCATCCCCTGTTTGAGATTAAAGCACTGAGATTTCTGCTTGTGACAAATGCTGCCTTCAAATCCTGCTGGGAAGAAATTGTAAGTAGTTTTGCTTGCGAAGCATCTCACTTGTTTACTATTCTTCTTCTTCTGTACAAACTTTGGCGCATAACTCGTCCCGCACCGTTTGTCACAGACCCATAAATTAGGCGGAGAGGTGTGCTATGACTTTTATAAGCGATTGGGCATAAAATGGTCGCACAGCAGGCAAAAAAAATAGGGCAAAAATCCCATAGACTTAACACTGCAACCAAATTTGACGGGTCATTGCGCCAAGTGAGAATTTCGTAGAAACATGTGGATCACTGCATTTGAAGAGGCTGGCAAGCTGTGCGAGGACATACCCTGCAGTGGGGTATAAGTTGTACCCTTGGGGCGCAAGAGCCCTCCAAAATTGGCCAATAGACATCCTATGGTGAGCACGTGTTTTTCCTACAATGGTAACTTGCGTAGGAATTTTACATTGAACATAATTCTGGATGAAATTGTCATTGAGACATGGGGGTGGGACTCTCAGGATCCAGGACATGGGGGACATCATGAAGCTATCAAGCCAAGCCCTAGCAACCATTCACAGCACCCTAGCAACCCAAACCTAAAGAGGCATATCTTCAAATCTGAACGTCATAGAGGCATGGGGGTTGCTTTATATAATTTATACTGGCAAGCAGCCTTTGGATTATCATCACTGGCAGCTGCCAAGCCACTCCCTAACAACCAAACCGAGTACCCTAGCAACCATTTAGCATGGGCTTACATCTCTGCATCAGAACATCGTATAGATATGGGGGTTGGCTCTTTTGACTCATGCTAGCAAACAGGACTCCTAACATGCTACACATGTTAGCACTGAATAGTTACATGCTAACAGCAATTAGCTTAGTGTTCAAATGTGCTAAAAAAATCCTAGCTAACTGATAAAACATAGTAGCTAGTAACTGCACAGTGCCGAGTTTTGCCACATCAAGTACCACTCACATTTACGTCAGAAAGTTATGATTCAAAGTCGATGTTCAAAGAAAACCCCACCGGTAATTGCGACAAGAATCATCTCATAAAGTATAATAATTCAGACAAGCAGTGGCTGCTAGAACAGGTTCATAGTACTTTAAACAGCAATCAAAGACCAAATTAACATGATTTTATTTTTAATAAAGCGACTTTTCTTATGTCTCAGTCCAAAATCTTACATTGGTGGTCTTCTTGTAGTAATCAATATGATGGATGTCTCTGGCCAGGCCGAAGTCTGCGATCTTCATAACGTTATCTTCAGTTACCAGGACATTACGGGCAGCCAAGTCTCTATGAATACACTACAATAGAGAAAACATGCACGCAAATGAATCAAGCAAATAATTAATCAAAGTCATATGTTAATTTGACTGATATGAGAACAGAAGCATTTGAGACTCCCACCTTCTTGGATGCGAGGTATTCCATGCCACGTGCCACCTGGTAGGCGCAGGACACCAGGTCTTTGATTGACATGTTCTCCACAGGCACCTGGTCGGGGTTGTAGCAGTACTCCATCCCAGGCGGACGACGCTCACGCAGATACTCCCGCAGATTGCCCTTTGAAGCAAACTCCACAATGACGTAGAGAGGACCTGACAATGGACATATGAAAACATTTCAGTCACTTAATTCATGTAGAAATATAAGGTCGAAATTAGTGGTCGAACGACATGAGTTTTACAATGGCTAATACTAATTTAGGTGTCTAGAGAGCAGCTTACTGGAAACCATTATAATGCCAGTATTTCTATCATACAATATAATGACAGCAAATGTGATTTAAATAAACATGTATTTTATTGCTTTTTTCCCTCACATTTATTTTACAGAGGTTGGAGTAGGCAAGATTTTTTTTACTGAAAGTCTCTTATGCTCATGAATGATGCATTTATTTATAATGCAGAGAAAAATGTAATATAGTGAAATATTATTACAATTTAAAATAATGGTTTTCTATTTAAATATATATTTTTTTAAATATTCCTGTGATGCAAAGCTAAATTTTCAGCATCATTACTCCAGTCTTCAGTGTCACATGATCCTTCAGAAATCATTCTAATATGCTGATTTGATGCTCAAGGAAATATTTCTTATTATTATCAATGTTGAAAACAGTTGTGTGGCTCATGTTTATGTGGAAATGTGACAGACATTTTTCAGGATTCTTGGAATAAAATGTTCAAAAGAAATCTCTTTCTTTTTTTTTTTTTTTTTAAAATAAAAGCCTTTCCTGTCACTTTTTTATCAATTTAATGCATCCTTGCTGAATAAAAAAAAAAATTCTCCCCAAAAAAACAAACAAAAAAAAACTTTTTTTAAGGATTTTGAAAGTTTTGAACAGTGTTTTTATTGTTAACTAAAAATATTAGAAACTTTTTTTCATTATAAAGCTGTAAATAAAGTCAAAATAAATAAAATATAAAAACCTTTTTAAAAAATTTAAGAAATATGTTGCCTTGGTAACTCAGTTACAAACAACTCAATCAGTTACAAAAATGACTAAAACTGAAATAAAAATGAAATCTAAATAGAAATATAAACATTAACTCATAAGAAAAATACTAAAATTAAACTGAAAACATATAAAAAAACCTATTTCAAAATATTAACACATACTATAACAGTACATAAATAATACAAAAAAAATCAAAATAATACAAACTTCATTCACAAAAAATGTAAACAAATTAACATTTTATTTTATACGGGGGTAGCCTTGAAGAGGCTGCTGTTTTTAATCTAGGATTTACAAATGATTAAATAAGGAAGCTGGGTTTCATTTATCTAGCATGTACAATCACAATAGCTGGACTGATGACAACATCCTGTCCTTTTGAAGTCAAAAAGCAGCATGCCTAACAAATTGATTTTGAAATATGAAATGATTTACGCCCGTATTGCATTATCTCTAAACGTCTCCATCTGCTCACCCCTCTCCCTCCGTCTAAATTCATCCTTTACTCACCATCTTGTGTGCAGGCCCCCAGCAAGTTGATGATGTTCTTGTGTTTGCCAATAATCTTCATCATTTCCATCTCGGAGATGAGGTCTGACAGGTCCTTCTCTGTGGCGTCGGCTATAAAAGCAATATTGATGAACACACATATATCTTAGTATGACAGGTCACGAAACCTTCAGCCTCTAAGCTGTGAGGGACAAACGGACCGTGCAGATGGGTGATTTTATTTATGCTTTCCTTTTTCATTTATTTCTGGTGTCGACTTGAAATCAACTTAACAGTTTGCAACCTTTAATTTGCATAACTTGATGCATTTTTCAGTATTTTATTGGTAGAAAATTATGTAGAGCTACACTTGATTTTAGTGTAAACTAAAAAATGTTATTACTGGGAATTTCTATAAAGTAATGTGCATTGATGAATTGTGTACAACAAGTCCAGGAGCATTTATTATTTTTGTTCAGGCTAATTCAGTTTGCTACAATTTATAATGGTGTTGAGAAAAACACTGTCTATGTATGATGAATATCATCAGAATAAAATCAGTAAGTGCGTCAGATGTTAATTAAGTGAATGAATCAAATGGATAATGAGAGTTTGGGAGTTTGTTTGAGTTTGTTTCGCCAATTCATCTACAGAATCAATTCATATGAGTCATTTATTTGTGAATCAGCCAACACAAATATGACAGATTTGATTAATTAGGTAGTAGTGCTATACATTCAGCGATGTAGGGCAGTGTTTTTCTACAGTGGCTTTATAGGTAATATTTTCGTTGGCAAAATTGAACAAAAACACACAATATTGTGTTTAAAATATAGCACAATATTAACTTCTTATTTACTGAACTGTTGTATTAAATCACATTGCACCCGTGTTCTTCGTGACAAAAACAGCACTCGTGTGATATTGCTCTCCTTGCAGGTGTGATATGCTTATCATATGATATAAATATGAGACAAAAACTCATACTGGGGCATTTTTTGCCCCAATATCTTGAATTTTAGGGCATAACTGCATTTATAGTTATAGGTTTGGGCAGTGCGTTAACTGCGTTAAAATATTTTAATAGCGTTATTATTAGTTATGAAAAAATAACACGATTGAAATATTTAATTAATTAAGTTAACGCGTTAAACTGACAGCACTAATATATATATACTGTATATATATATACATATATTAGTGCTGTCAGTTTAACGCGTTAACTTAATTAATTAGCTATGAAAAAATAACGCGATTAAAATATTTACTATATATACATATATATCTATATATATAGTTAGATTAAATCTATCGTAATCTTTCGAAAACAGTTTGTCTATTATGTACAAAACAAATAAATTATGTACAAAATAATATAAATTATTAAATATGTACAAAACAGTATTAAAAATGACAAAAGCACATACAATTTCAAAAACTGAAATGAAAATGGAAAATATCAAATAAAAGCTAATTCAAAATATTAATAGGCCGAAGTATATTTAAAATATAATACACAATAGAATACAATAATATAAACGGCAACAACAATATAATAATGTTAATATAATAATATAATTAATACAATCATATTAATATAATTATAATTAATTATACTATAATAATATATTTAATTATTATTATTATTATTATAGTATATAAATAATACTAAACACTTCCCAAAACTTCCATTTTTACACCACACACACACACAACCGTCAGCTATCAACGGTGGCAGAAGACACTTACATTTGAGCATCTTGACAGCCACTTTGGTGACACGACTGGGTTTGTCTTTATCCATCCCGATAGCCTCGGCCATCATCACCTGCCCGAAGCAGCCCTCGCCAAGCGGCTTCCCAAGAACCAGTCTGAGACACAAACACACACAATATTAATCACTGTTGAATAGCCAACATTTCTCAACAACAAATAGTCAACAAATGATGAGTACAGTGTGTGTTACCTGTCTCTGGCCACCTCCCAGCGAGGGTCCTGGGGCAGTTCATATTCGGAGACCCCTGAGAGCATAGGGGAGCCGCTGGAGGACAGACGAGAGGGCCGGACCAGCATCCCACCCGAGTGCATAGATGAGCTGGAGTCCACAGACACCTGTACGGAAACACTTACAACTTACTCTCCATACAAGACAGCAACAGAAAAGCACATATGAAGACTCATGTGTGTATGTGAGTTACTAGCTCAAGAGGCACTTACAGATGCTTCTATGAGATGAGACTCACTGACATTATCCAACAAATAGCAGTTCTCAAAGAAAACAGAACTACACAATCAAAACCCAAAATTCAACAATCAGCTCAACAAAAAAAGTAAAAGTTTGCCATTTTAGGCAAACATAAAACCTTGAGGAAAACTTTTTTTTTTCTTTTACAATGTAAATACAATTTACAAAAATAACTACACATTGAGATTTTTTTTTTTAATTCTGATATTTTAAAATGTAAAGTTCCGCAATATATTAAAAACTTTTTTTTTTTTTAAACGTGTGGTCATATTTACTGATATTTTTGCAAATGAAATATGTATTTCAATAGGAATCCACATGAATGGGACTTTCTCATGATGGCGAGCGATTTCCTCATGCAGGTTTCGCAAAACATTCAAGTTTGTCACAGAGGATTCAGAGTTGCTAGGTTTAATAATGACTTCATACATCACTGTGAGCAAAGTCCAATAAATTCAGTAGGAATCTACATGATCTGGAATTTCATATGACAATTTTTCCAAGCAGGTTTCATAACGGGTTCAAGTTGGTCACGCAGTTTCGCATGCTGCCTGGTTTGAAAGTGACTTTATACATCACTAGACTATTGACAATAACCTTGAGTTTAAATTACACATTTTATTAAGTCTTTTAAAGCCATTTGGAAGCTTTATTTCATTAGGATCCATGATCTGAATATTCGAAAATAATTTCCCCATGCAGAACAGGTTCAAGTTGGGCATGCAGATTCACCTCAGCCTGGTTTGAAAGTGACTTCCCACATCTTCCCAGGTAAAATCAAGTCTTTTCGGTAGGAATCCACGTGCATTTCGCATGATGAGGAAATTCGCAATGAGTTCAAGTTGGTCATGCAGATTCAGTGCTGCTTGGTTTGAAAACGCTTCATACATCAGTACACAACAAAAAATAGACTTTCGCCTTTTTTGCTCATGAAATTTCGCAAATGTGACCGTACCTTAAGGAACAGAGCAATTAAGATTTTGGGAACACTTTAGTTTAGTGGTAATTTTACTAATAGTTAGTTCATAGTGAGAATTGGTCTTTAAACTAAAGTGCGATCAAGATTTTATTTACTGAAAACTCTCTGACAGAATTTTCATTGATTAACATTATAATTAAATATCTTCAAACAGTATTGTGGATCTAGACAACCTCCGTAGGTGACCAGAAAAACACTATCACATGCTACAACACTTTCAACTGTAATGTTAACATGAGAAGAAGCTGTTGAAATGAGATGTTTTTGTTTAGTGGTAAAGAGATCAAACCCCCTATCTACTTTCTGTTACCTGTCTGCGCAGCGGGATGCTCTTGGCCAGCTTGTGGACTGCCAGCTGGCTGTTGAAGTCACTTTTCTTGGCCGAGCTGTGCATTTTGGCCAGCACGGCGGTCACCACCATCACACAGATGAGGAAGAAGCCCACGCAGTAGATCAGCACCTCCAGGTAGGTCTGGTTTGGTAGTGGAGTCGGAGGAATGGCTAGATTAGGAAAGAAGGGAGCAATCCAAGGTGGCAGAAGGGAAGGGAATGAGCTTGCTGAATGCTGAAGGAATGATGATAATGATGTGTTTATTTACCTTTGTGTGTTAAAAATTAGAAATTCAGTCTATACAGGTGCAAACAGAGCTCAGGATTCTGTACCAGCAGAGCTTGAATCTTTGACAGTCACTGCAACTGACCCTTTGCTAAGTCCAGCCTTAATGTTACTGAGAAATCCTACTTCAGTCCGCCATATTATCAGACGAGCTTTTGTGCTTTCTAAGCTTTTAGAAACAGTTAAAAATCGAATTTTGCATAAAATATGCCGAGACTTATAAAACGTTTCTGGGGCACTTAAAATAGTGACACAATGTATCCAGAGAGGACACACAGGTTAGTTCGTTCACTCATTCATTCAAATTCATCAAAGTCTTGATGCAGTGGATTTAAGTATTCAAATACCCTCATTTCCAAATAAACATGTATATATCAGTAAAACACCTACAATTGCTTTAAAGTAAATTAAACTTGTTAACTATATTCATGTAATAATTATGGAAGTCCACTTCCAATAATTGTGTAATTATAATTCTTTTTTTTTTTTTTACAAAAAAGTAACTTTTTGTGACTTATTAAAATCACACAATTTACAAATTATTTCTTGCAATTTTGAGTTTATATCTTGCAATTTTAATTTTTCAAGAAGCAAGGTAAAATCTTGTTTCCGGGTTGTTTTTTTTAAAAACTTTTTTGCACAATTTTATCTCTTACCTATATATACAGTATATATAAATAGGTCACACTTTATTTTATGGAACAATTTTCACTATTAACTAGCATGCATATTACTAGCATATTGGCTGTTTATTAGTACTTATAATGCACATATTCATGTCTTATTCTACATGATCATATGTGACCCTGGACCACAAAACCAGTCATAAGGGTCAATTTTGAAATTGAGTTAAATTGAGTAACTGAATAAATAAGCTTTCCATTGATGTATGGTTTGTTAGGATAGGACAATATTTGGCTGAGATACAACTATTTGAAAATCTGGAATCTGAGGGTGCAAAGAAATAGAAATACTGAGAAAATCATCTTTAAAGTTGTCCAAATGAAGTTCTTAGCAATGCATATTACTAATCAAAAGTTAAGTTTTGATATATTTACGGTAAGAAATAAAAAAAAAAATTCTTCATGGAACATGATCTTTACTTAATATCCTAATGATTTTTGGCATTAAAGAAAAATCTATATTTTGACCCATACAATGCATTTTGGCTATTGCTACAAATATACCCCAGCGACTTAAGACTGGTTTTGTTCTCCAGGGTCACATATTTTAGATCCCTTAATACTACAACATACCTAAACTTAAAGGTCCCCTGAAATGCTTAGAAACATGCAGCGTTACTCTGTGTGTTGACGTCATTTTAACTGAAACAGGAAGACAGGGCGGGACATATCAAGCAGCCCCGCCCCTTTTTAAAATAGCCAATAGCATTCGTTTTTATCACAACTTGGCCTAGAGCCGTTCAGAGCCGTTGAGCTCCGTAAAGCCGCATTTGACAGGGTATGCCAGCCACAATCTCATCCATATTGCTATAAAATATAGCATTCTGTGTAGAATTCAAATAGCTCCGATACATTTTGTGGTCTGCGCCGACTCGCGCATGTGATCCGCTCCGTGCTATCGTGTCTCTGGACCGGAGCAGAGTGGGTGTGCTTTAGCGTGACACAGCGCGGAACCAGACTTCTTTTTTTCCTCAATGGAAAGCATATTTACAATGTTTGAATCGTTCCCTGTCCACTATATAGTGCACTACGTGCCATACACTGTACAGAAAATACTAATTCTGTGGACAAGTGACCAGTTTCAGCCGCGGCTTCAGCGTCTATTTTATAGTGTAGGGGGTGGGGCTTCAGATTCTAGAGAGCATTTGATTGGACAGAAAGTTTGATGAGAAGCTGAAGTACGTTGTGACGTCAAAAAAAGCGTTGAGCCGTTTTGGCAGAAGAGACGAACTGCAAGCTTTGAATGCTTATATCTTCTAAATGCAAATTTTGTCACTGTTTTGGAGCACACTGCCTTATAGATGACCTTAAGACTAACATATTGATACTAACACCCAAACAACTTTAATTTTGATTTCATTGGGACTTTAACCACTATCTTACTAACTATTAATAAGCAGCAAATTAGGAGTTTGAGACAAAAGTTGTAGTTAATAGTGAGAATTGAACCTTAAAATAAAGTGTGACAAATTTTCATTTACTATGTATTTATTACATGTTTGTTAATAAGTATAGCAAACATAGGTGGGATGGAGCTGGGCAAAAGGTCAGTTGGAAAGCATATTTTGAACTGTGACCCTAACGGTCAGCCTGTCTAGCAGGTATGAAGATATATAAGTATCTGCTAAACTTCAGAAGTTTGAAGCAAATCATATTAGCAGGACACCTCTTTTATTCTAGGCCATTGTTTTTTAACATTAACCTGAATATACATATGCAATTCTTTGTAAAAGCACAGACACACTGATGCACACACATGCATGCACAAAACAAACCAAAAATCCTCTTAAAACAATTCTGGAGATGGCGTCGTTCACGTGAGTGGCGCATTGCAATGGACACAAACTCCTATTGTAGCATGCTAATTACTTCTTTCATGGATCGGGTTTCATGGCACATACTTCTGCTTATGTGACTAGCAGGAGAAGGAAACCACTGCTCATGATACTTGGCAGCTCTCGCTTCGAGATTAGGCCAAAAAATGGCCTTATGTAAACTCATATGAGACATTAAATTTGCAACACAAATACAAATGTAAATTGAGAGGAATGGCTTATCTGGGTGGGAAGACAAAATCTGAGCGGGTATGCATTTCAGTATAAATGGAGAGCTAGGTTATGAGGGTAAAATTACATGAGAAGTCTGGCTGATACAGATATTTCCTATGCTATTTGGTTGGTGTTTGTCTGCCCCAAGGCTCTGGTTCATAATACTGGGTTTCTTTCACACAATTCATGCATACAAAAGATGTTATTGTGTCGTGTATACATTTCACACAGCACACAACAATACACATGCAAATGCATCTCATTGACAGATCACTTCTCTTTGACCTCTCTTTTAATAACTAAATGAACAATCAAATATGAATATTGAAGTGTGAACATGAAGCTCAAACGCTAAAGTTATTGTATTTACAAAATGGGTTTTGTAATCAGACTTAAGCCCACAATTTGCTGACTGCAACATGCAAATGCAAGAAAACCAGCATTCAACAGTGAGAATGAAATTTCATTGTCAGGTGTTGAATGTATTTAACTTAGACCGACAAGCATCTTGATAAATTAAATCTACTTAAATATGTTTAAATAGATTCACCCTCTGAGTGAGCCATTTATCAAACCAGAGCCAAAGAGGAAATGATGTCAGCATAGCCTTTATGCTTAAAATCATGCTCTTTGCGATGCTTGTCCAGTGTTCAGGCAAACAGAAATGTTAATTGGAAACAGGTTAATCTTGAAAAACTAGGAAAAGTGTTTTATAATATAAAAGTTTATAATGGAAAGAAAGCTTTGCCAAACCACTAGCCACAATATGCCATCTGTTCTCAGTTGTTATTTGCTATGCTTTACATAACTTCTTTTGCAGTTAAATTACAGTTTCTGACGTACTTTGTGAGAATAATTAATTGTTAAATAATAATAATAATAATAATAATAAGTAATTGTTTGCCAAACATCTCTAATTAGGTTAGCAGTGCACAGAATCTTTGTTCATGTTGCGCTGGTCAATATAAATACTCTTAGTTATCTTGGTAGCACTTTATTTTATGTACTACAACTAGGTACTAAACCTAACCTTAACTCATATGAAATCCAAGTAGTGAACTTTTGTATTTTTGTAAGTACTTTTTAATGCAATCGCTCTTTACCAATGCCAGTCAGCCATGATTATTTTATTCCGCAAGTGAATAAATAACATTGGGTTAACAATATAAAGCAAGGCACCCACTAGGAGGCAATCCATTAGAATGAAACTGCTTTAATAAGTCCACTGTTACAGTGGTCAACTCACATTAGCGTTAACGATTTTTCAAAAGTACTGTTCCTGTCTTTGTAAATATTTAACAATAAATTAATAACAATTATAACATTTTATATAACAATAACAATATAAAATAAAAATGTATTATAACAATAAAGTAAATATTTTCTTTGTGCACCTCTAAAGAGTTCAAAAAAGTTTTACTCTAGAGATTGTCGGAGGTTTGGCTTCGCTCCGATTCCATTTTTCTAAAGAAAGATTACAAACATGTCATTTTGACATGCTTCGACTGACATTTCGAGTGTCAGTCAACACCCAGATGAATAAAAAAACCACAAAGCAGACACAAAGGGGTTGAAGAATGGTGCGGTTCACAAAGAATATGTTTGCATTGTTATTTGCTACAAAACCACTGCATTACTTGTAATTTAAAGGGGTCATATGATGCTGCTAAAAAGAACATAATTTTGTGTATTTGGTGTAATGAAATGTGTTTATGCAGTTTAAGGTTCAAAAAAACCTTATCAGCTCCAGGCATGATGAAGCGATATCGTCCTCTTTTGGAAGACCAAACAAAGTAGTTTCGCTTTCACAACGAAGCACACAGCGCCTTCACGCGGCGGCGGCAACAATACTACTACAGCGAGAATAAAAGTTACGCCTTCTTTCTTTGCGTGAACATTTGGGCGGCATTATGCAAGTCTTTCCACATCGTGATGTAGATATGTGGGGGCGTGTTAGAACGAGACGTTTTAGGTAAGCGTGGCTGACTCTTAACTTTTATAAAGAATATCTCTTTGGATTTGAGACTTTAACTAGTCTTTGCAACTTTACAGATCTTCTTTATGCACCAAGAGCTTGTAACACTCCAAAGAGAAAGGAAAAATTGAAATCGCATCATATGACCCCTTTAAGTAAACACAAGAGTAAATGTTTACTGGCACTGGGGCTCTGAGGCCAATTTAATAGCTTAAACAATTAATGACATTCACATGCTAGGATTCTCTTACATGCTCAGTATAATGGTTTGCTTTTTTATTGCATTTTTGTCAAATTGATTGAACATGAGTCACATTTATGAAAAGTGAGTCTATGCGCTAAAACAGAGCAGGGTTATTTTGTGGTCTAATGGAGTCCAGTAAAGTCAATTTTAACAGAGCATGAGGGTCAAAAACAATACTTTGTGCTTTCCATTAAGTCAAACCTTTGAACAAAGTATTGTTTGATTTTATGAAGAAACAATGCAGTGATGTGACCGAATTCAACCCACAGTGTGAACTGCCGCTGTTAAACAGAGAGAAGAAACCAGCAACCGAAAGAAGCACCACAAGATACCTTTATAGACAGTCAACCATGCAGAGTGATGGGAGTGGCCGATAGAGTTTCCAGCCAAGCAGGTGTACTCTCCAGAATCCTCTAAAGACACATTCCTGATCTGCAGTACCTCCATCTCCTTATCCGTGGTGTTGACGCCTGCCGTCTACAGAGAAAAGAACCACAGGATGAAGCCGGAGATCTCCGGGAAAACCCACCAGAGTTGAGAGAGAGAGAGAGGTTTTGGATAAAGAGCGGTGAAGGTCTGACAACATAAGAGAAAGGCGTTGGAGAAACACCCTTCAGCACCCTTAAAGAAATCAGGACTGCTCCCTGATTGGATCCTTCGATGACCCTGCTGACAGATTTATGGTTGGATGAGAATGGAGCACATGGCTCCACCTGCTAGAGGCCCAACACCGGAAGATGAGGGTGACGTCCACCCCCTAGAGTCCACATGCACATGATGGGCCACATGGAATATTACCCAGCAGAGACTGTACCGAATCGCTCTCACATACTTACATTTTCAGAAAAATAAGCAAAAAGGGATTAGAAAGGCCTGTTAAAGAATGTGTGACAAAGAAAGAGAAAGAGAAGAGTCAGGACGCCAAAGGTACTGGAAGTTCACTTACTGGAGCGATACTATAGTACCTATTGAATTTGCTATTCAAGTGGTGTCAACACACCAAGAAAATACTGGGATGTTCTATTGTGGCCATCTTCAGAAGTGAGTACTATTGGCTAGATAATATAAAACAAAGACTAAGAAAAATAACAAGATTTTTTCCGATTGATGTTGACTGTTTAAAAGGTTTCTCCTCACTTGTGTGGAAAGCAGGAATTTTTTTTTTTTTGCAGTTTCTTCTTCTTTTTTTGTAATGCAAAAGCAATCAAATATACCATGAAATGTTAAATTGTAGCCTTTCTTCACATTTCTAAATTTTTACTTGAAAGCTTGATAAATATATCCAGACTATATGCTTTTCGTAGAATTAGGAGATTTATATTAATATTTGGAGTTTAAAATAAAGGAGGGTGTTGAATATCATTCATGTTTATGTGAATTTTTACTGGTATTGTATTAATACAATGTTTGCAATCGTGACAACCCTACGAGGAAGAAAGAGAGATTGTAGAATTTAATTATGAAAGCAAAGCAATAGCAAAGTTGAGCCAAGTAGAGAATAAGCCCTTGAGCGAGCTGAAGGAATTTAGACGGGCACATTCCCAAGGTGCCACTGAAACGCTTTTGAAGTGCAAGAGAGCGCAAGTAATCTTCAGAGGGCATGAAACACACCCTTATTAGGAGGGCAAAGTGTAGCACAGAGATGGAGAGATGGAAACGTCCAGTGTAAACAAAAGCCAAAATACTTCCAGTTGCTCTGCTGGGATTTTCCATGGCGTAATTTACGGCACCACAGAAAATAAAAAAAAGAGCGACGAAGTGGGAAGATGTGTCGCGGTCACCTAAAAGCCAGATAACCGCTGTCTCTACCTCCATCTAACTGTGTATGTCTGCCTCTTTCTGCACTGATATATCTCTGTAGCAGGGGTCGTGTGTTACCTTGCAAGTGTTTAACGACGGTGAGCCATGCTGATTGGTTGGCTTGGCCTATATAATTGGCCACTTTACATATATACTCCCCACTTTCTTCTTCTGTCACGTTGTACAGCGTCAAGACCTGTGTGTCCGAGCTGTTGACCCCAGAGTGCTGCAGAGGTCAAACATATGTCAGAGGTCAAGCACAAAGTCAAACATTGAGGTCACTGAGATCCCAGCAGTCACTAAAGGACAACACCTGCCATTACTGATCTTATGAAATACATTATGACAGTCTGCCAAGAACATGGCTCATATTTTCCCCCAAAGCTGTTAGTCTTGCTTCATTTGCTCAGGTGCTCTGTCCATAGAGGTGAAGCAATATGGTGAAAGTTACTTTTAAAAAAAGACAAGGACAAAGTTTTTTGGACACAGATGTTTAACAGCAACAGAAAAGCTAAAGATCAACACAGATTTCTGAAATTTGTATTTAAAAGAATGTTCCAGTTTACAACATGAGCAATATCAGCAGTATCTGTGACAACATCTATTACCACAAAAAAGCTTATACACACTTGGAAATTGGTTTATGTTTGCTTCATAGACTTACAGTGGAAAACTAACAAAACTAAAACTATTAAAAAATATATATTAATAAATATAGCTGAAGCAAAAAAAAGATGGAAGAAACTTAAACTTATTGCAGTTTATTGCCAAGTTAGCATTTCAAAATTTTTAAGTTTAAGTGACTACGTTTTTAAGTACTAAAAATACTAAAACTGAAATAAATTAAAGCTAAATAGAAATATGTAAAAACACAGCAACATTTCTAAATCTAACCAAAGTTAAAATAAAAACTGAAAATATAAAAACTAAATTTAATTCAAAATATTAATAACTACTATTATAGTATATAAATAACACATACTACTGTAGAACAGTGAAAATATGGAAAGCTGGAAAATTCGGTCAATGGCACGAAAGCTTCATCTCATAAATGATGGAAAATTCCATTAATGGCAGGGTGAGGATTAATTGACATAGACAACACGGAAGCATTTTAATCAAACATTTAGCTTGACTGGTTAAATGGTTTTTACCTTTAAGATCCGAACATATGGCAGTCCGTCAGGGCCGACTCTACTGCCATTAACCTCAATGTGCTTCAGCCACTGGATGTGTGGCTGAGGATCGCTGAAGACTTTACACTCAAACTCCACGTCACTCCCCACCACTACTGTACGGTTAGCAGGCAACCCCGCCTGAAGAATCGGCCTGTGCGGTGAACGCTCTGAATAAAACACACAAACACACGGTACACAGTTAGTATTGTTGAAATGACCCCATTAACATAAAAACAGATTTTTAATCCTTTTCTCCTCTTAAAGAAATCAAAATTGGAATCTACATTACAGCAAATGGAATATTCAACAGATGTTTAATAAACACTAATGTCATATAGCCTGCAGGAAGCAGCCTCATTAACATGCAGGCTAAATGTTTATTATAATTGCTGTAATTTGGTGGAAATGAGAGGAAATGTTATTTTAAGCCACAGCCCATTTCTCAGGCCTTCTCACTAAAAGACAATCTGTCACTGGCTCTTATTGTGAGTCCAGAGGTGTTCAAAATTTTACTACACTGCTTTAAAAAAAATAGTTGATTTTATTTTAAGTGTTCATGCTGCCTTAAAATTCAAATTTTAGTCAACTCAAATATCCAAGTTTTCACTTAGTACAAATTAACATTTTAAGCTGACTAAATGTTTAAGCCAATACAAACCCTTAATTTTTTTTTAATTGAAACAACACTTTTCTTTTTTTTTTTTTAAGTTGACTATATTATGTTAAATTGTACAGTTTGCAGTTAAATTAGGGCTGCACGATTAATCAAAATTTAATCGCGATTAGGCAGAAGCTGTGATTGTCATGCGTATATTTCAGTGAAGCACGGTTCTGTGATCAGCAGTAAATCTCCATCCAAAGGCCAGAGGGCGCTCTCGCGCTGAAACTCCAAATACACCTCGAAGAAGAAATCCAGGAAATGCCTATTGAGGTTGCTGAATAAACAGAAGATTTAACTGCTTTCATTAATTGTGACTAATAAACACACAACTACGACAATATATGTTTATCAGAGTTTGTCTTATAATTTTTATTATAATAAAGTATATAATAATGCAATGCTAGTTGACAGCCTTTATCACTGCTTAAATACTAAGAAATATGTTGCGTGCCTTATTCTGTGTAAGAAGCCACATCATCTCACAGAAGGATTTATTTCAAACACTCGACTGACGTTATGAAGAGTTTGGAGTAAAAACATGTTATTAAATGTGGTATTACACATTATGAAGTGAGTTTGGAGTAAAAACATGTTATTAAATGTGGTATTTTCACATGCTTTCAGATGGAGTAGCATTTACTTCACAGAGCCGTAGGTCACTGACAAGCTACGCAAACAGCTTTCATAATCACAAAACTATTTCTTCGATTTCATAATCGCGCAAATTAAATCGTCTGCGATTATGAACGCGATTTTGCATAGCTTGTCAGTGAACTACGGCTCTGTGTAGTAAATGCTGCTCCATCTGAAAGCACGTGCTGGAGATTTACTACTAATCACAGAACCGGCTTTACTCACAGATTAATCGTGCATCAATCCTAAAATCAAATTAATTTATTTTTTCTACATTTAAATAACAATAAAAACAAGTTAAAACAAAAATAAAATTAGAAATAGAAGAACATTTTTCCCCCTACATTTCCCCCTCTTGTGATATAGCATGGTAGGGCAAATCAAACGACATCCATGGGCCAACTACTGCCCACAGGTCCTGGTTTGGCTATCTTTGTTGTAGTTGGTACCATGCAAATCTGACTTTCAAAAACTAAAATTTTTTACAAAAAAAACTACATTTCTTAATCTCTGTGGCTGCACAAGAATAATACATTCAGCATCAACTACACCCCTTACATGCATTCTTTTGCTCTTCATTTTGTGGTACTATGGGAAAAAACACTTTCATGAGGGAAAAAAGAGAAAGAAAAATGAATTTGCCCAATGAGTCCATTTCTTTTCATCAAAATCAAAATCATGCACATGACATTACATCATAATTTCAACCCTTTAAACGAATAAGTAGGACCTTCCCAGGAGGACTTGATGGCACAAATGTGTGAATGTCTTCTGTGTGCCAAATTCAAACAATGTCTTCTCATCAATGTGTTTGTATGGTGCAAATGATGTCACAGTGGGCTCCGTCTAGATGGGTGTAGCACTGATTTATTTGCTTCTTAATGAAGGCATCAATCAAGTCCACTTCAGCCAATCAGTGTTTAAATTACTTTATTCCAAATACTCTGATCTCATCTTGAGTCACTAACCGCATCTCTAACTCATCCACGGCATCAAGTAAACACTTTGTATTTGCAATGGATCATTTAACACTCACCATCAACGGAGTCCACGTGCCTGTTCTTGACAAGCACACAGACATTCGCACGCAAAGTGTAAAGCCACCCGTTACTTCGGTTCATTTCAGGGAAGTAATGGTTACCATTAGTGGTGCTGCGCCAGAGCATTAGCTGCATGGTGAACAACACCCATTTGCATCTGACTGACTCGAGTAAACATTGCAGTGGTTCTGCGACCCTCCCTTGGGGATCATTTGCCATCTCTTGTGCTTTGCTAATGCTAAAAAAAAAACGTGAATCGATTTAATCAGAGGTTTAGCAATAAATCATTGCAGCTGAGCTAGTGGGGAAGGGGAGACCAACACAAATTTGCTCACATACAAAGAACTAAAACTAAATTTCAAAATGTTGAAGACTGTGACTGACCGACTACGTCCAGCTGGTAGGTGTGATTGATGCTGCCGCATTTGTTTTCCACCAGGCATGTGTAGTTGCCTTTGTCTGACGGTACCACCGACTCCATTATGATGGTCCACAACACAGATGCTACAGGTCCACAATGACACAAGCAGAAAACAGCGGAAAATACCACTTTAATGTTCATGTAAAAGGGAGTTGAAGAAATGTCATTAAAGAAATATTTCAACCCAAAAATTAAGATTCTGTCATTATTTACTCACGTTGAATTTCTAATCCAGTATTCCGGTTGTTTTTTTTTAAGAGAAATTATGAATTTTCACAAAAATCTTTTCACCGTTTATTTTATAGCTCAAAAGAAGAAGAAAAATCACCATAAAGCATCATGAAGTACTCCATACAACTCATACACTATATTCAGAGTAAAGGCTTGTTAACACCAAGAATGGTCCAAGAAATCATTAAAAATTGTAAATAATTGCAGAATCCACATCACAACTATAACGATATTGGCACTGAGGAATGATAAAGTTGGAATCACTTTCAAAAAAAATTTCCAGCTGAAGAATGATAAAAACACTGACAACCAATCAGAATCCATCCTGTTTTAAAGAACTTGAGCATTTAAAGTGCAGCACAAGCTTATAATATTCAGACAGTTATTGTGCATTAGTGTGGACGCTAAAATTGTTTTCATTATAATTATCGTTCTTGGTGTGAATGGGCCTTAAGGCTGTCAAACATGAGGTTTATTCTTGAGCTGCGTTTGACCATATTTGATGTGCTCTAGATATGTTTATTGATCAATATTTTTATGTGAATAAAAGCCTAAATTAAATCTGTTAATCATATGATGTGATCGTCTCTCTTCAAAAGATTTTGGAACAACATGATGAAAACTGGTAAAATACCTATTCAAGTTCTATGCACAACTTTGATATATTTTGTTTTTGGTCCTTTTTAAAGCTTGGCAGAAGTAATTACTATAAATAGTTGGTAACACTTTATTTTAATGACCAATTCTCACTATTAACTAGATGCTTATTAGCATGCATATTACTAGCATGCTATTATTATTGGCTGTTTATTAGTACTTATAGAGCACATATTAATGCCTTATTCTGCATGACCATATTTTAGATCCCTTAATCTCTACCCCATACCTAAACTTTATAAGAAGCAAATTAGGAGTTTATTTAGGGTAAACTCTTAATTAATAGTGAACATGTGTTCCCTATTCTAAAGTTTTACCAAATAGTTTTTATATGGACAACAGATGCATAAAGAAAATTCTTTTTTGTGTTCCATAACACAGTACCTGGAAAAATCAATAGCAAATTTGCTTAACAAGCGTGAAACAAGTGAACTGAGGCTGAAACTCAAACAAAGCACTACTACTAATGATGCTTTGCTAAGGAATTTAATTATACGTTTTGTTACTTTGGGTCTGTTGATATTCAACATGGTCAAATGAGTAAAAGGACAGAGGTTGGTTTATCCTGGAGTTTATTCTTATCTGTCTGAGCACAACCAGTTGAGTAAAATGAGGATAGCCAAGCAAGAGTAGGCTTCCTCCACCAGAAACCCACGGCTCCAGTGTCTGCCTTCCAGGCATGGCTATTCAGCCTCTGTCATACTACAGTGAGGTGTCTGGAAGACAGATCTGTTGAGGACGAGGTGCCCTTTTAACCCCCAAACCAGAGTAGCTGGCTAGCAAACCTGGAGTTAGGTAACCAAGATGTTTCATGATTTTAATGGGTTGTGGTGTAGTTCCCTCACCTTGTAGCCTCCTATTCGCTGGTCTTTCTTAAACTCTTTGCCGTTCTTGAGCCACTTGAGCGTTGGCGTAGGGTTACCATTGGCCTGGCAGCGGAACTTGACGGTTCTGCTAGCAGGAACCGCATGGAGCTTCTTCTCCATCTTATCAGGTTGAGCCCAGACGGGTGCCATTGCTGAGGAACAGTCAGAAAGCACATAAAATAAGATTGAGAAAGTTAGATTGGTCATTCAAAACCACTGATTCAAAAATACAATGTGAACAATACCAAGGCCATGACTATTTTAGAACGGTAATCCAAAGTGGCAGATCAAAGTGTGTGAGATTTGGGTGTTGGTTGCTGGTTTTACTCATGAGTGGCTAGATAGTGCCCTTGGGACTCAAAGAGTAATCCATCAAACGTAATAAAGACTTTCAGTCTAATGAACAAAGGCACATTCCACACAAGACGCCTGTGGTTTATAAGACAAAAATGTGTTATAGTTCCTAATTTAAAGGCAAATTCTAACAATTTCGTAAGAAACAGATACTGTTATTGACATTTGCAGATCTCTGAGTCAGAGTTTTGAGCACAGAGAGTTTGACTAAGAGAGGAGGGTGACTCACGAAGCAGTTTCTGGTCACTCGATAGCTTGGTCTCCTCTGAGGAAGACTCATCTTCTTCATCATCTTCTGAAGAAGCCAATCCATCTGATTGAGAACAAAAATTTTGGTTAAATTTGTTGTTGTAAACAATACAAAAATCAACCCGCAAAAAAATCAATCAGTAATATCTTATTCAGTTTATTTCTCACCTGTAACGTTGACACTGAAGTAATCTGTATGGTTGCTGTTGGGTCCCTGAGCAAAGCAAGCATACAGACCAGAGTCGGCCGGCTCTACTGCTTCAATCTCCATCTGATGGTTATGCAGGCGAGTGTGCTCTCCGTCAACCAGGGGAACGTGGTCCTTAGTCCAGGTCACTTCCTGTGTCTCCTCTATACTTTTACAGCTTAGCTCCAGTTTGTCCCCCGGATACAAAGTGTACGGCATCGGCTCGACCAGGGCTAACACTAAGAACAGGATGTAAGAAATTAGTTAGGTTTAATAAAATTAATTAGGGACGTTTAATAGAGATCGGGGGCATAATTAGTGCACCATTTTCAAAATAAATGTTTCAATAATTGATTGCACTAAATTAACTGGCCTAGTCAAATCAATCAAAATTCTTTCTATAAATTTAATTCTTCATTAAATTAATTACTGTATACTATCTGATATAGCATCTCCATTCAATCTCCATGCACACTTGCCATGCAGTAAACATTTGTATTTTATCAAATTTATATCACCAGGGGAACGTGGTCCTTAGTCCAGGTCACTTCCTGTGTCTCCTCTATACTTTTACAGCTTAGCTCCAGTTTGTCCCCCGGATACAAAGTGTACGGCATCGGCTCGACCAGGGCTAACACTAAGAACAGGATGTAAGAAATTAGTTAGGTTTAATAAAATTAATTAGGGACGTTTAATAGAGATCGGGGGCATAATTAGTGCACTATTTTCAAAATAAATGTTTCAATAATTGATTGCACTATATTAACTGGCCTAGTCAAATCAATCAAAATTCTTTCTACAAATTTAATTCTTCATTAAATTAATTACTGTATACTATCTGATATAGCATCTCCATTCAATCTCCATGCACACTTGCCATGCAGTAAACATTTGTATTTTATCAAATTTATATAATTTATTTTATCCGTTACTGAATCCAGGGGCAAGATTTGCGACACATTTCTTAACCGTTTTTTTTTCTTTCTTTCTCATTTTCTAACTTAAAGGGTTACTCTACCCCAAATGAAAATGTAGTCATTAATTACTCACCCTCATGTTGTTTCAAACCCGTAAGACCTCCGTTCATCTTTGGAACACAAATTAAGATATTTTTGATGCATTCTGACAGCTCTCTGACATAGACAGCAATGTAAGTAACACGATCAACATCCAGAAACGTAGCAAGGAGATCGGTAAAATAATCCATGTGACATCAATGGTTCAATTCGTCTCCTCCGTGTCATCGTAGCACCATTTTAGAGAGTATCCAACTGAACGCAAACAGTGTATGCCGTGCACCACACGGTTTGCGTTCAGAGGATACTCTCTCCAAAATGGCGCTACAGTGACGCGGAGGAGACGGATTGTTGGATAAAGTCATTATTTTTGTTTTCCTTACGTACAAAAAGCATTCTCGTAGCTTCATAAAATTACAGTTGAACCCCTGATGTCACATGGATTATTTTACCGATTTCCTTGCTACGTTTCTGGACGTTGATCGTGTTAGGATCCTTGCTGTCTCTGAAGGGTCAGAGAGCTCTCAGAATGCATCAAACATATCTTACTTTGTGTTCCAAAGATGAACGGAGGTCTTACGTGTTTGGAACGACATGAGGGTGAGTAATTAATGACAACATTTTCATTTTGGGGTGGAGTAACCCTTTAAGAATAAAGGTAAGAACAAGGGATGCTCCGATCAGGATTTTTGCAGCCGATACGGAGTACTGATTTCTTGTCATGGTGATCGGCCAATACTGATGCCGATTCTGATGCTTCAAGCTTTATATAGACTTTTCATCGGGCACACGCGCCTGGAATTTTTGGCGTATGATATGGCACACCCCTATTATGAACATCTCAGAATTTATCTTAACTTCTTTCTTGAATAGAAAGGTGTAATCGAGCCCCAGAGTATTAGTGTTTGGCATCTTATAGATGAGCAACAACACCTTCAAGCATCTATCAAAGATCCCACCTCAGTCACTGCTAAATCAAATCGGAGTTTGAATTAGTCAAGGGCCAATTGTCAGGCCAATTCTGAGATAGAGCTGAAATTTGATTATGGGATGCAAGGTTAGGGGCATTGCCTCAGACACCACCACCTGAGCCCACCCGTCGCTCCTGACGACCAGTAGAGATGGGGTGGGGGCAAGACTTGGGGGTGGGAAGTCTAAATATAATTACGCTGATGCATTGTCCATTAACATTATGTCACCCGTCTGCAATTGCCCGTACTCTTTTAAAGGGGGCTGCTTCTTAGAGTAGTGGACTGGAGAATTATCCCTGTTGGGGGTCCTCTTTAAAAGAATAGACTGACGAGCACATACTGACACCATATGCTAATACTGACTCTTTGCTAACAGTAAGCCAAGTTGAGATTTTTGCATTTACAAAACAAATGGTGACTGCTTCATATTCAAATGGTAATTGGATTCATTTACGTTCAATAACAATGCATTTGACTTGCTGAAAGGATATGAATGCTTGGTTTCCTGTAAAAGATGCATCAGGACTTGATGATTGTTCAAAAAAAGGTCACATTTCTATGAAATCCTGCCACCCGCTGAAGACGACATTTACACTATTGTTTTGAAATGTGAGTAAATCTAAAGAAACAATGCTTGGCCTATATCCTACTGACTCACTGTGGTAAAAAAAAGACCCAAAAACAAAAAGGTGAATGCAAAGGAAATTACAAAAGATTTTTTTTTTTTCTGAAAAGTCTGGCAAATGTTGTGAAAAAGCATTCATTTAAAAACAATTTTAAGAAAAGAAAGTGCTTAGGCGATACTGGTATGCTCATTACTGACACATTTCTAATAGTAAACAGAGTGCAAACGTAAGCCAGGTTTCCTCTTGACAAGTTCCGCTGTAGTAACTCCGCCCATCACTACCATTAACTCTGCTAATAAAGACAAGCGAGTGAGAGGCCTGTAGCAGCAGGTTTTTGGGCTGGTATCCATGGTGACCTCAGTAGGGTCTAGTTTAGGTATTTCCTGATTCGCATGTGTCTAACAGGATCTTAATCCTGACAGGAACAGGGGCCAGGGAGGGATCAACTTTCCCCACCAAAACACTGCAGAAAAGAATGAAGGAAGGAGAAAAGAAGATGAGCTAGCTTAGACTTATTTAGCCACAAAATAAGTAAATAAGTTTACTTTAAATAAGTAAATACTTCTCAAGGTTGGATTGTTTTCAAGTTTGGCAGGTACATTTTTATATACCTTGAAATCTATACTACAGAATAGCTATTGAGCATTTGCACGCTTACTGCTCAGGGAAAAAAAGATTCAAAGGTGCTGTATGTAAATTTTGACTGTACCGAAGCAGAAAAATATCATATGTTTGCAGATATTTAAGAAACATGTTAAGTTCACATACTTGAAATGTGTATTTCGTGTCAGAATGTCTGTTTATGTTTTGGTCTGTGTGACTCCGCCCACTGCCAATTTTGACACTCTGGGTTGCAAGTTGATGGAAAACAGTGTACTGCAGCCATGGAATCCAGCAAATGTACTGGGTCAGAGATTGCAGATTCCACTTGACTTAAAAAGCCACAGCATCCATCTAAAAAGCTCTATGACCAGAGGCATATTAAAACACGGATAAATCAACTCATCGACTTACAGTATAAGGCTCATTGCCTTCCACTGTCAATTGCGTTCATTCCCACTGCATGTCCTCAATCTGGCAACCATGTGAGTGTTGAGTCTTATGCCTGGTTCAGACTACACGATTTTAGCCCGATTTTGCCACGATTTGCTTGACGTAGGGTGTCGTGGGGATTCGTAAATGACAATGGGCGTCGGGACACAAGATTTCATCGTTTCAGCTCGTGTAGCGTGTCTTAGTGGACGACAACCGATTCCGCGACTGCGATGCTTCACGACATCACGACAGAAAGACTAGCATGTTAATTTTTTTTCCATCGTCCACGACGAGTTCTGTCACATTGGTGACGTTGACCAATAGCAGCACAGAAGCTCATTCATACACACGTTTCAAACATGGCGAAACGAAAGAGAGATGGTGCTGCTAGGTGGAATTATGAGATGGAGGAAAGGTTCGTGGAGCTGTGGCAACAGTACTCCTGCCTGTATGATGTGTCATCGAGGGACTACCATGACAGAACAAAGATAGAAAAATGCTGGCGAACTATAGCGGAATCGCTTCAGCAATGTTTACAGTCTTGTTTTCAGAAGTCAGTCGCTAGTTACACCTTCTCGATGACATCACGCACGTCGTTAAAGACGGCACGCGATGAATGGTCGGGAAGCAACGTGTAGTCTGACATGTTTCTTGTCCACGACACGACGATATCAGTGTCAGTGAGCCAGAAAGGTTTCACATTATAATTAATGAGAAATTCATATTATAGACACACTGACTGATCGGAAGGTCATGACAATGAGGTTGTAATTTCCTATTGGCATTTTCGATTGAGCAGAGCAGATGCCGAAAACATTTTGCACCAGTCACCAGAGAAGCTGTTTACTGTGAGGTATCAAGTGAGAGTATTCTACAATAATCACACAGGGAGAAAATTATACAGCTGCTTCAAGATTTATAGTCATTAATCGACATGCTTCCTTCCAGGATATTAAATAGTGGCATGTTACCAAGCCATCAGTCACTTCAAAAGAACAAAACACTATGCAATACAAGCTGAAAACATGCACCGGTGTGCAAGCTATAGAATCCAGATGTAGTCTGGCCCAACTACTGCTTTGGGGGGGGGGGAATTAACTGGGAGACAATTAACTGGGAGAAAAAAGGGAGAAAAAATTATGATGGGGAAACATATTTGGTGTACAGGTTGTTTAAAAAAAAAATTATTACTAATACTACCAATTATATATATATATGAGTGTGTGTGTGTGTGTGCGTGCGTGCGTGCGTATGTACATACACACACACACACATACTCGTATTGAACCGTTCAGTACGAGGCATTCGGTTCGGTAAGAATTACAAACCGAACGATTCGATTCGTTAGACTAATCCTATTACATTTGGAAAATAAAATGGCTTAAAGTGTGTGAAATATAATGTTCTCAGTGCCACTGCGCTCAACAAGGCAGCCCAAACAACGTAACAGTCAATGTGCTGTCTGCCCAGTGGCGTAACGTTAATGGACGGGCACGCAGGACACGCACTGTGAAAGGCCCCACAATAACCACCTGTGAGTCATGAGTGTAGTGTAGCAATCATCTTATAACAATGCTGTTTTTATTACAATTCATATGTCAAATCTAACTCTAATTCAACTACCTTCAAGAAAAGGTGCACTCTGTTGTGCTGAGTCACTCCTCACGGAATCTCAAGGCTGCTGATCTTCCAGATTCTGTGACCAGATTAGTCTGGATTAAAGTTCATATTTTCTGGAAAGCAACCCAGCTGGAATAGCCATTGCATTTTTTTCTTTCCTGCTTCAAGCCATTTGAAAAAAATGATTGACATCCCTGAAAATCAAGTTAATTACAGTAAATCATGAAAGGGAAGATTTTTGGCGATGGACAAAATGAGAGGTGAGCGAGTGAGACTTAGGCGGCGTGCAGGAAGGGCAAAGGGGCCTTTCAGAGAGAGACTGGAAACAAGAGAGGAAGCAATGCAAGAAGAGAATGACCACAGGGATTTCCTTTCACGAGAAAGAATGATGGTCAAGTACAGAGAAGAGGAAAATATATAAGTAGAAAGAGAGAGCCAGAGCAAACTCAAAGAAATAGTCCAACAAATGACCACTCCTTCACTCCTTTATCCCAGTGATCTGTAGGGCTGGGTTATTTTTTTCTATACCAATTTTATGAAATCAATTTTAACAAGATTACATTATCTAAAACAAAAACTTTGGTTTTATTTTTCAGCTTGATGTTTATACAAACTCAAAGACTCATCACTGCACAAAGGAACAAAATGTAACCAACACAATAAATCAGTGCAAATAGTTTTAATAAAGCTCAAATAGTCTTCAGTTTACACATCTGTTAGGTTACGTTTACACTAGTGCATGTTCATTTTAAAAAGCATAGCTCAGACAGAATCATGATTTCTATTTATTTTCCACTGATTTACTGATGAGCATTAGCAGCTTCCAGCGCTGTCTGCCTGTGTACGGAACTCCGTGCAGCTCCCGCGCTACTCTCCATTGGAAATGAATGACCGGTCTGTCGCTTGTTATTTGTCGGAGATAGTGGAAAGCCGGCTTGAAATTCAGTGGAAACGCCAGTATGACGAGGATCGTTTTCATTTTAGAACATAAACGCACCAGTGTAAATGTAGCCTTACATCTAAGGGGGCTGGGATGCATTCACACTACAGCCTCAGGTGTGCGCCACATTGCTGAGTGTAACCGGTGTTAACTAGTAGGTGTGTTCGACTTGACGCAGACCGACTGTGCAGACCGATCGGTGTATTACAGTACCACGAGAGCTAAAGAGAGCAGACTGCTCCGTGCGCTTTCGAATCACTTTCGCGGATGTCAAACACTGATCGATCTGCGTCGCACCTCTTTTGGTCGAACACAACGGCTAGTGCTGCAGGCTTATTGGCTCACTGACGCTGATAAGATTAACCCCATAGGTATCAAAATTTGGTACCAAACGACGAGATGTTTTTCGATACTCGATGGTATCGAGGCAATTCGGTCGGTGCCTAAAAAGTATCGAACTCGATACCCAGCCCTAGTGATCTGCGGCTGAGATATCAGAGGTTTAGTCTCAGTAACAGACGGTCACAAATAATTAAACGCAAAGAAACTGGAATGTGACTGTTAAGTTTATTTTGTGGCCTAATCTGATTATTCTGACTAGCAGTCACTGATTAGTGAAGGTGCTGGCTCAGTGTGACACCAAAAGAAACACACACACACACACACACACCTCCTCTAACATTAACCTAACTTGTCTTATGCTAGTCTGCGTCAATTAAAGCCCACATCAGGACTTGGATGCTAATGGCATTTGTTCACAATGGCCATGGTTGTACAAACATAATCACTGCTTGCCTACACGCAAATGTGGCCATGTACACACGCACATGGTATGCAGGAGGGGAGGAATGAGATCAGCATGCTCTGCTGAATCACAGCCATTGTTTCCCCAAAGTATTTATTCATCTCCTTCTAGAGAGTCAGATTGTTTTACAGAGAGTAAAAATTATGTAGCAAGAATAAGAAAACAGTCACGCATTAAAATGCATCAGTGGACATTAACCATGAACAACAGGAATCAGACAGATAGAAACACACATATTAACAATACTTTTCTATATCTTTAAAGCAATGTATTACGTATAATGGGGACACTATTGAGTGACAACTCATTGAATGATTTTCGATGTACTGATTTAAAACTGGTTCATTGAAACAGGTTTGAAGTATGATACTGGTTTGAAATATGTCATAGCATCCATGACTAGTTGGAGCATGTTATATTGCCACAGACACCTACCAAAACAAAGACAATCAGCTTGAGTCTTGTAGTGTGCACTTGGCTCTTTGGCGGTTAACAGAATAGTGTTGATACTGTTAAACTATTAAAAATACTTTAAAACTATTAAAATATTTTGAAAGAAATTGAAACAAAGTTAAATAAAATAAAATATTAGATATAAAAATTTGAAATGTTGCTCCAGTGAATAACTGAAATAAAATGTTTCTAAAGTACTAAAATAACTAAAACTGAAACAAAAATGCACTAAAGCTAAATAGAAATATAAACATCTAAAAAAATAAAACGCAACAAAATTATTAAAACATTTAGTAAAACTAAACTGGATCAGAGCTAAAACAAATACTATATTAGTATATAAACAAAACTAAAATAAAACTAACACAACCACATTCTATCAGCATTAACCATATATGAAGTTATAATGGTGTAATGTATTAATTTGTACAAAAGGAAAAAGGACGATTTTTGAATGACTTGCAAATAAGTCCACATTTATATTAGATTTAGATTTTTATTTTCACTTTCAATTTAATAAATTTTGGGCCTTTGAAAGTCTTCTGATCCCAAACCATTTAAGAGTGTTTAGACAAATTTGAAACACTACTTAAGGAAATCCTGTTGTTTGTGCAGGTTGTATTCCCACCTAGGGAAAAAACAAATGTAACCAAATGCTGGAGTGTCAGTCACTCATCAACAGCTGAAACTATCATTTACCCCACAGGAGGCCTGAGGGGAGAGAGGGAAAAGTGCTCTCTGTCCTGACAGGAGGAAGAAGGGAGAGGAGGAGTAGAGGAAACGCGTAGAGGGTATCAGCATGCCTGGCCATTTGGCTGTCAAGCATTAAGTGGGTAAAAGGTAATCCATCACATTTAGGTTGGGTTTTCCTCCTTACATTATAGTCACAACAAAATCTTTTTAGTGAAGTATTCAAACAAATAGCCAGAAACTGAAATATATTACCAAAATAGTCAGAAATCAACGAAATAACTTATATCCCGGACGAGCCCCCAATTTGTTAAACCCGCAATGAGTCTACAGGAATAAATCTGCGTTCTTGGTAATATTAACAAGCTTTCTCGTGCAATTCAACTTTTCATGAGTACTTCATAGATCTATGCTCTCTACCCATAGGTCTCACAACTCTGCACTCAACCACAAGTAAACGTGCTTCGTTTTCCCAGAAACACGATCTCCACTGTGGAATAGCACCACAGGGCGGAGTACTTTCGGTGTCTTCTTTTAAAAGCAGTAATTTATAGTGTTCATTACAAAAGGAGGATGGCGAGACAACGGGGAGAGAGAGAGATAGTGGGGGAAGAGAAAAGTGAGGTATTTTTGCAGAGCCGGAGGGTACAGATGGCAGCTATTTCACACTTCCAGCTCTGGGATAAATTCCAACCTACTGTGTTTATTTAAAGCCTCCACAAACTGCCAGAGCAGAAGTGACCGTTCGCTTTATAATACTGGTAACTGTAATGTAAGGCATTTAGAAATCTCCTGGGAACACCGTGTTTCCAAAATCCAAAAGACGATGATGAAGCTACGGAAGCACGTTTGGGCCTGTGAGAGCCACAGGCACTCACTCAGCTGGAATGCTGCCAAAGGACACATTTTTCAGGGTTTTATTTCAGCTGGTGTTTTTTTTTTCAACCTGTTTCCCTTTTTCACTCTCTGTCTATGACTTAATGCATGAAAGTCCTTAGGGTTTTAAATGACTATTTTGGATACGAGGTGGAAATGGAGAACGAATGGTATCCAAGTGTAAACTTCCACAGCTCAGTGTAGAATGTGTTTCCCCTTTGGCACACCACTTACACAGAGCATATTAGAGTTATGAATATGGTTTGAGAATGTGCATATAGTCATACAACATAGCTATACAATTTCAACATAATCAAACTTGTTTTAATGGGGACAGCATCTTACTTGCTCTTAAGAATCTGAACACTGCATACGACTTTTTTCTTTTCTTTTCTTTTTTTTTTTTTTACAATTTTTAAGTATCAAACTTGATGTACGAATTACTTCAACTTGAATGGTTTTAAACAGTTGAATCTCGTTTAACTTAAAAATTAACATGGAATTGGTTAAATCACATTTTTCACAGTGAATACTAAGAAGAAGAAAATTGTTTGATGTATTATGCAGACAGATACCTGCATATAAGCTTAACATTAGGTCACTGTGAAACCTTATGTACATTTATATGAAGAAATCCTAATGATACTGTTGCAACATACAGTCTGTTTAATTTAGGCTCAGACAGAGGGTGGAAAACAATCACACTTGTTTTTGGTGAAAGAAACCTTAAGCAACATTAAGTGGATTAAAGAGGGAAAAATAGAAAAAACTGCCATGAAAGTGTAGGATATGACCAATTTAAAAACTATTTCAGGTTGCTTAATTGCAAAGTGTCCGAGACATGGTTTATTATTAACTCATCTTCAACTGAGACACAATACAACAAGAGTACTTCAAAAAATACTTACTCTCATCTTGGGTGGCTGGTCTGCCCTGGGATTGAAGAGCCTGAGTTAGAAGTACAGTGATCAGCAGCAACATGGTCTTCATCATCATCATCATCAAGGATTCTCTACATCTGAACTCTGCATCCAGCCCAGCTCTCCATAAAAAACAGCTAGGACATCAGCACTGGGCGTAAGATGGAGAGACAACAGCAGAAAGCAAAACAATTAAGAATATTCACAACTAATGATTAAAGACAACATGAATCTTTCATAATGTGACATTTCAGTGAAACAGTATATTCAGTTGGAAATAACATTGGACGGGACTTGAATGCAACCATCTGGATTTGACTGGATTGTTAAACAAAGGCAATTATGTTATTTGGTTAATATTTTTCTCCACTCACACGACCATTACTATGCAAACATTCTGCTCAGAATCATAAATCATACTAACAAATTTGCTAATTATCTCTTTAGAGTAACTTGAACTGAGGAATTGTACAAATTCACACTAAGGACATTAACTAACAATATAAATCTTACAGTTTATTTTTTTTATTGTAGACAAAAGTTGAGAATAGAAAAGCATCCCTGACAGAAAAATTCCTGTAAAGCTCATCTGATGCATAAGCTGCATAGATCAATGTTTTTATATATATATATAATGGCCGACAAAAACCTAACTTTGCTGTATAGGTCAATAGTGGAACAGCACGTTCTTTAAGAACCTTTCATCTCAGACTTTTCCACTACAACAGGAGAGAACATTCTGAGTCTTAGAGTTTGCATTAACTAAATAACTTTGAACAAGTTAACATGGCACTTTTTTCATAATTAGTATATCAATGTAGTAAGACAAAGCTAACGAGGAAAGCAGATTGCATAAACCTTGACGTACATAATTTTATAGTGGAAAGAAGTTTTTCATAGTGCTGTTCTGTGCAGGGTCACTCCATCTGTTTGCTCTTACAAACACACGCAAGAAAATACACAGAAACACAACCACACTCCTCCAACCCTTCACAGATATCTGTCAACCCTGTGCTGGTTTAGACCTCAGCATGACCCCGACACGCCATTTGTCCTACTAGCTATCGGAACTCATCATTTACACATTTCATCACACACTCCAACACGAGCAGATCGGTCAGAAAAGAGCAGCATTTCACAATTCGCCAGATGTTTTTCTTTCAGAATGTTTAGCTGTAGTAATTTGAGTGTCTTTGCATGTAATTGGGATTTTGTCCTCCCAAAATATAAATAAATTGAAATAAATCTTAATGTGGTTAAAGCTAATATGAAGCTAGACTTAATAAATTAACTAAATGAAAACTCAATTGACTGTGTGCACCTATTAACACAGGGGAAAAAAGCTGAGGAAATATCCTGGAGAATTGGGGATTGTCGTGAATGGTTTTCAATTCTTTAGACAGATAAGAAATGTCATGTCCACTCAAACTGGACACAAGACCTGTCACATTTTTAAAACCAAGTAGATTTTAAATTCAACTTATCTGTAAAAATAACAACTGCACAATTATTTAGGGTTTTATATACATGTATGTGTTAATCCAATTTAATTTTTAAACAGTTTTTCATCATTGCTCTAGTCATCAGTGTCACATGATCCTTCAGAAATCATTATAATATGCTGCTCAAGAAACATTTCTGATTATTATCAATGATGCAAACAGTTGTGCTGCTTCATATTTTGGTGCAAATCTTGATACATTTTTCCAAGAATCAATGATAAATAGAATAAGTCTAAAAGAAAAGAATTTAGGCTATTTAAAATATAATTTTTGTAACAATGTAAAGTAAAGCACTTTTTGTCAATTTAATGCATCTATGCTTGCTGAAAGTAATAATTTCTTTAAAAGAAAAAGTACAGACTCCAAACACCAAACAGCAGTATATGTATATATAAGATTTAGAAACTAGATCACCTTGCCGACTAAATCAAACCTTACACAGTATTATAATTTCTAGTTCTACTGCCCCTGTAAAAACGGTGGTGCATAATGCCCTTGAGATGAATATTTTACAGAACAATGCAATGAGATGTCTATCGCATTCACAGCTGCTCTAATAAGGATGAGAAATTTGGACAAACACCAAGAATTGAGACTTGATACACATAAAATCGCTCCCATAGAGTTTGTGTTGGTTTCATTTTCCAAGCCATGTCTGCAGCTGGTACAAACCAGAAGAACAGATGAATGGAGAGACGAGCGAACGGTCAGACAGGGGTGACGGACTCTAAGCTTGTGCCAACTCCAATCCCCTGCCAGACACTGCGAAAGACACCTACAACATGCCAATATTAATCATTACCAAGCCAAAAACATACACCAAAAAACCTTGCTCGCTAATCTAAGCGCTCCAAAGTTGCGCTACACTTGCGATCAGAAGCCGAAAAAGCTAATATTTGTGATAAGCTAAACATGTTGCAAGAGAGGTTTCACCATGATCATACGCTGCTGGAACGAACCAAGAGTGATCACAGTGTTGTAAATGCACATTCCTCAACCTTTACATGTGCGATCACAACACTGTGATCACTCTTGGTTCGTCCCAGCAACGTACGATCATTCAAATCTGCGTTCGTGCTGCCGCTGACTTAAATAAAGCATCTGTCATGTTAGGGCTAGGCATGGGCCGATTACCGGTTTCAAGGTATACCGCGATTTTAAAATGTCACGGTTTCAAAACCGCTAATATTTTCCGTTATACCATTCCTGCGGTATGCGCGGTTCAGGCACGGTGCCAGAATTTTTTCTCTACCGGTGGTAAGGGGGGGCTAGACCAATATGTGGGGGTGCTAAGAAAATAAATGATATTGATGACGTCAGAGTAACTTCACAAAGAAATGGGGCTATTAAAAATTCTGACGGGGCTATAGCCCCCCCTAGCCCCGGTGTAGTGCCGTCACTGGGGCTGTTTTTCATGTCTCCTTAAAGACTGAAAGTGTAGGAATCCCTCAGGTTGAGTGCAGTGTAGAGAGTAACACGACCCTCCTCCTCCTGTTGGTGCGAGCGCGGTCAGTCACGTGTGTGCGGTGTAGGACGGCTGAACTAAGGAGCTTCCCCTGGAACTTACGAGATCAGCAACCGGCCATTTTTTGTCTTATTGCAAGCAACTCGTCTCTGTTCTGGACTTGCACAAACTGCGTTGCAATGCAATCGTTTTCCAAAATGTAATTTATGTGAAAATATGAAGTATGTAAACGTCCGTTAACAGAGGCCAGAGACGCTGAAGACGAATGCAGAGAAAAATACTGTAGCAGGCAGATCAACTCACTGTTCATGATGCACGAACTATTGGAAGAAAATCCTCAATATTGATTTGGGGGTTTATATGAATGTGTTTCTGAGGGGAACTTCAGAAAAGATTACGTGGTATTTTCTTTTAATCTCGTCTCTGTATAGTTCATATTAAAGCAGTGTTTCAGAGCAGTGCTGCTTTGTTTACGGCGTTAACCAAGAAAACGCCGTATCTGGTGTTCCAGAAGCGCCTCCTGCTGTCAAGAGAGTGACTCTGCATCTCATTCAGAGCTTCTGCTGTTTGCTTCGTTCAGGCATGTAGTATAATTTCACAAAGCTAGTCAGAACTTTCTGTTTTTGCTTCAAATTGGGTTATTATTAAATCAAATGATGTATATGAAATTATATTACTAAATGATATGAAATTATATGTTTATGAATTATATAACTAAAATTAAATAACTCTAATTACAGATTTAGGTTAAATAAAGATGTCAGTCTTTATTTTTCTCCTTTTTAGGAAACAAATCAAAGAAAAAATAAACAAATTCTACTGTTCCTAATATTCTGTATGTTGCTCAAAAACAAAATATATTGTGTTCAGAGGAATTTTTTTTTACCCAGTCATTTATAAACAACATATTTTAGATTTCGCCTGTGATTTTGAACGCGATTTTGTGTAGCTTGTCAGTGATCTATGGCTCTGTGTAGTAAATGCCGCTCCATCTGAAAGCACGTGCTGGAGATTTACTACTACATTTACATTTACATTTACATTTAGTCATTTAGCAGACGCTTTTATCCAAAGCGACTTACAATTGGGGGATACATAAAGCGATTCTTCTTAAGAGAGGCAAACAGACACAAGAAGTGGTTGTAATACCAAGTTCTTAGACATTGTTCAAATAAGTACAAGCTAGAAAGAGAAGGAATAAATAAATTTTTTTTTTATTTTTTTTTTTTTATGATGAAGTCAAGTAGCTTCGAAAGAGATGAGTTTTCAGCTGTCGCTTGAAAATTGTCAGGGATTCAGCATTCCGGATAGGGGTGGGAAGATCGTTCCACCAGCCAGGAGTGGTGAATGAGAATGTTCTGGAAAGTGATTTTGAGCCTCTCTGTGATGGTACCACGAGGCGTCGCTCACTAGCGGATCTCAGACTTCTGGAGGGGATGCACGAGGAGGCCTGAACGCTTCCGCTGATGCTTCCGCGTCAGCGCACAGAGATCAGATAAATACACAGTCTAAGACACTAAAGTGAAAACAGCTGTGGCCGCCTTCTAATTAGCACAGCCAATAGTCTATAGCAGGGCAATTCCTCCAATCGAAACTACAGTTCGCACTTCAACGCAGGAAGGGAGCAATTAAATTACACGCGCTCCTTCTTAGCCGAGGGCAGTTATTATAATTACCAGAGAGTGCAATCAAAAATACAAACGCAAACAAAAATATAACGTAGAAATAGGCAGAAAACGAAATATTCCTTCTTAGCAGCAAGTAATAATTCCAACAGCAGATCTATAACCAAGTATTACGCAGGACACTCACGTGCAGCCGTCTGTCTCTTCTGTTGACTAATCGCTTGACCCAAGTTATGACAGTGACCAAGCAGTTTAAATACTCTACGGTCGCTGTGGCCGCCTTCTAATTAGCACAGCCAATAGTCTATAGCAGGGCAATTCCTCCAATCGAAACTACAGTTCGCACTTCAACGCAGGAAGGGAGCAATTAAATTACACGCGCTCCTTCTTAGCCGAGGGCAGTTATTATAATTACCAGAAAGTGCAATCAAAAATACAAACGCAAACAAAAATATAACGTAGAAATAGGCAGAAAACGAAATATTCCTTCTTAGCAGCAAGTAATAATTCCAACAGCAGATCTATAACCAAGTATTACGCAGGACACTCACGTGCAGCC